GGGTGGAGAGAGACCACCCCGCTCGGCTGCCGCCTCCTACCTGGGATCGCTAGGTTGGTGAGAGGGAGGCGGTGGATGCTTTCTGGCAAAGTTGCCATCCAGTCTGCGAATTTCGGCTCACTCTTCCCTTGCGACGAAGCCATGCTGCTGCCTTGGTCGCCCGTGCCCTCCGCGCTCTTCTGCCTGGCAGCTTCACTGCCTGTAATCCAATGTTTGCCGCCCCAGCCCGGCTGGAGTTTACACGCTGCTCGGCGCCACACCCACAGGATGGCGCAGACACATGCTAATTTTCATAATTATTCCAAACACTCCGCGCAGCCACCGGGCTCGCGGCAGCTTTTCGCTCTCACCCACCGCTCCGGCTTGAATGCCTGCCCTGCCCGGAGTCGCCGGGCCTGGCTTTTTAGCTGGCTCCCACACGCCTCCGTCCCGCCTTTGTTAGCCACGCTTCGGGCTGGGGTTTTGCTCATTCGTTTGTAATCAATGGCTCCTAATAACCCCCCACCCAGGGAGAAAGTATTTTGCTTGTGTGCCTCCCACCCCAGCCCCAATAGGGGTCTATGCTTCTGGGGCTGACCCGCTCGGAAACATGATTTTCATTTCACTCCTCACGCAAAAATGCTGACGTGGTCCTCTTGTTCTTCTATCTGTGGGGTACACCGCGCCGTTGCCTCTTCTGAGGGTCACACTCTGGAGTAAAGGGTGACCTAAGTGTCTGCTTTTCCTGGGGGGAAGTCAGGGTGTGTACTCATGAATTAATTCAAATACCCCTTTCAGTGTATGGGTGTGTACAGCAGTTTAGGTGGGGTAAGAAGGGCACCTTCTGCTACAGGGGGACATGGACACGAGTGGGGAGAAAAAACACTCCCCTGACTTCCCCCTGCCCTTTCTGCTACAGCCATGTGAGATGAGGAAAAAAGGGGGTCTCCTCAAAGGGAGGTCACCCCAGGAGCCAGTGGCATGGCAGCAGTAGTTGCAATAGGATGGGATGGCTGGAGAGCAGTGCTGAAGATGAGCAGGCATGAAGCCCTAAGAAACTCCATTTAGTACACATAGCAGGTCTCCTCAGCAACATAGCCTATGCAGAAGTACACAAACAAACATGCAGGGGGCTGGGAAAGACCTTGTAAGACCAGCTAAGCTCAATGAAGAAGACTGAAGGAACCATGTATCCCTGACAGCAGTGTTCCCTCAAAGATTTTCCATCTGTGAGCAGATTGAGTTTTGTCTTCTGCACTAATAGTGAGGTCATGTGCGCTTGTTCGGATGTGTACCACCATTGCACCCACCAGTTGCTAATAAATATATTCACATTATATTAAATGTTATGGAAGAAAGAATACTAAAACAGCCCTTTCCCAGTCACAAAGAATAAAAAGAGCTGTTAAACCAGCACTTTCACCTACGCATCTTTATTATTATGGCTGACTCCAAGTGCCAATGTACTGTATTTAGCCCACAATCTGCTTATTGATCACCTCTGTCACCACACACAACACAGAAGGCCTTACAGTCATTCTGAAAGAAATGGGAGCTTCCTAACAAATGAGCCTGTAAATAATGAATTGTGATGGTTGCAGCAGGTACAAGACCAATCCCATTTAGATTGTTTAACTATAAAAAAATTAGTTAAAATCAGATAGCAGAAACATGGAAGGAAAAGATGGAACTAAATGTTGCTAAAATACAGAAGTTATCAAAGCCCAGGCCAAAAGAAATCTCAGCTGAAAAAAAACCCCAACCTTGGTTAAAGCTTAAATGTAAAAATGAATAGTAGTTTAGAAATGTAAGCAACTTAAATGAGTAATTTGTTCATAACTTCAATTTACATACACGCTCCCCCCCCCCCAAAAAAGCTCTTTGAAAGTCTAAAATCATTTTTAAAAGAAAAAAGTTCAAAATGTTGGCTAATAAACGGTAAGCCAAGAAAGTTTAAAATATTTAGTCTCTCATAATAAACAAAGCAAGGGACCTCAAATTTACAAAAAAAAAAAAACTTAAAAAATTATATATCTAAAATAAATCAGCTTTTTAAAAATGGCACTAAAATTCATTCAAATATTTTATTCAAGGTTGCAAAACTGACAGCTACTCTTTACCTGGCAGCAAGCATCTACTGACAGCCTTAACTTTGTCAGTTGACTCTTTAAGTGTCCTGATGCTTTCACAAAGTTTAACTTTTTTTCCCTTAAGTGATTAATATTAAAAATAAAATAAGTGAAAATAAAAAGAAACCCAAAATAAACACCTTAATCCTTTTGTCAATAATAAAGCAACTAAAACAATACAAATTATCATTAAAATAAAATTTTACAATAATTATAGGTATTCCTGTAAAATACAAAAAATAATACTTCTAACTTAAAATCTTTTAAAAGCTCAAAAAGGCCACTAGCTGGATGGTTTAAAAACAAAAACCAACCTAGCGGGTGCACACGCCCGCTCCCGCCCCCCATGAATAGAAAATAATAAAGTCTAACTATTAAACTCCTATTCAAAATAAGGATGTGAATGGTTAACATCACACTTACTGGGTGATGCTTACTACTGAAGGTCAACCAGCGGGCTGCTCCAGCTCTGTGGGGCCTGGCACATCACAGGCAGAGATGCTCGAGCTTGGAAGGATCAACTTCTACCACAGCCAGCGCCGCTGATCACCCTCCTCTATATAAGATATTTGAAGACTTATCAGGTCTCACTTCAACTCTTCTTTTCTCAAGACTAAACATGCCCCAGTTTCAAATCTTTCCTCCCAGACCTGGTTTTCTAAATTTTTTGTCTTTTTTGTTGCTCTCTTCTGGTTTCTCTCCAAGTTCCATCCACATCTTTTTTAAAGTGTGGCACCCAGACCTGCACACAGTAGTCCAGGTGAGGGTGGCCTCAACAGTGCCAAGTAGAGACTGGCAGTTACTTCCTGTGTTTTACATACAATACTCCTATTAGCACTCCGCAGAATGATATGAGCTTTGTTTGCAGTTACATCACATGGTGACTCATTCAATTTGTGATCCACCATTATCATCAAATTATTTTCTCTAGTACACTTAGATAGCTATTCCCCTTATTGAAATTGTGTGGTGTTTTGTTGTGGTAGGGCTGTCCTCTGTTCCTTACACTGGCTTTATGTACTGTAAAGAGTCAACTTCAAGGTCTTGGTCTTTATTTTTCAAGTGCTCTTTGATCTAGACTCAGCAAATCTAATATTTCACATAAAGCCAGCAGTGGGCAATAAGTGGCCTGTGGGTCAGACATGGTTCTCCAGGTTAGCCCCAGCAGGCCACCAGATGCTTTATTTACCTTTGTGCCTGCAGGTATAGTGAGGGACAGGCTGCCACTTCCTGCAGCTCCCATTGGCCAGGAATGGTGATCCACGGCCAACGGGAGGTGCAAGCGGCTGTACCTGTGGACACTCAGGTAAATGAAGTGTCTAGTGGCCCAATAGATGCTGATCGTGGTGAACCACAGCTGGCCCACAGACCAGTTATGATCCACCCCTACATAAATATTTAGGATGGAGACTGGGATCAATGACTCCACTTCTCAGGTGCATTGGAACTTTCTAGTTTCTGGGCTAAAGGTTAAGCTAAGTTGTGCAGGGGACAAAGCATTCCCAGGGGTCAGCCTGACATTTTTTAGCAAATTCCCACACAAAATGATAGGGAACCAACCCAACAAACCTCACCATCTTCCACACTAACTGGAATGTGCACTTGTTAAACTTGCCTTCTCTGGCTAAGACATTCTGTTATGGGTTCTTGGACTGTGGCTTCCCTGAGGCAAACACAAAGCAGGAAGAATATAAAAAACAACAGCAAGCCATAGCTTTACCTAAACAAAACACTACAGCACACACTCAATTCTCTGCATTGGGAGTGGATGAGAGAGAGAACGAACCATACATGACTGATGATAGTCACATTACTTAATGCATTACTGGAGGCCACAGAGATATTGCAGTGATAGTTTAAGAACCTATATGGACTAGTCTAGCAGTAAAGTGACCTAACTGAAGACTTCAGGGTATCTGGTCTCCTGAGACACAAATGGAACATATTTTTCCTGGTCATTTGCAACAACCTCCTGACGAGGAGCAGGAACATAGTAAGGAATTGATAAACAGTACTGGCAAGAAATTGAACTTTCTGTCCTTGCTTCTATGAAATGTCCTGGATCAGAGTTACTAATTCCCTGTCATAAGAGAAGTTTTAGTGTTTGCTGAGTCCAGCAGTTACTGTGACATCTTATTTTTTTTAAATGACATGAAAATAAAACAAACTCAGCTAAAAGTAACTGAGTCTAGTCTGTTAATGGTTTCTGTCTTAAATCCTGTCAATGGCTTTCTGATCCCACTCATTCTTTCTACAGTACACATTTCAGTGCTCAGGTGAATCAGCAACATGGACCTCATTTTTTCTGTTCTTAGGCTACGTCTACATTGGCATGATTTTGCGCAAATACTTTTAACACAAGAGTTTTTGCGTTAGAGTATTTGTGCAAGAGAGCGTCTATATTGGTCCGGGACTCATCGTAAGAACGATGCGCTTTTGCGCAAAAGCACGTCTACATTGACGGGATGCTTTTGCACAAAAGCAGAAGCCTGGAACCATTTTGAAGAGGGCAAAAGGGTACCAGCCCTTTCCGGGGGCGGGGGCAGGGGCAGGGGCAGCAAAACTCAGGTGGCCCTAGGGCCAGCTGGGGTTCTCTCCCCCCCCCCCCCT